ATATTTGTTACATATATATTATATATATATATATATATATATATACTCACTAATCTAAGTGCATATGATTAGTGATTAGCGCATTCATTTAGGTTTTGGTTTATACTCCTGAATTGACATAAGACCAGAAAAATTTCCTGTGAAGAAAATGAGTAAAGACTTTTACTATAGGGGCGCCTGGGTGGCTCAGTTGTTAAGCATCTGCCTTCGGCTCAGGTCATGATCCCAGGGTCCTGGGATCAAGCCCCATATTGGGATCTCTGCTCAGCAGGAAGCTTGCTTCTCCCTCTCCCACTCTCCCTGCTTGTGTTCCCTCTCTCACTGTGTTTCTCTCTATCAGATAAATAAAATCTTTTAAAAAAAGACTTACTGTAGAGACTTTATTAAAAGTTGTACCATATAGTAAATTAGACTGGATACATGTGTGTTCCCTTTCAATTCTTACAATATGTCACTGTGATAGAAATACAGAAACACAAAGCAGAAAAACCCATGTATAAACTCATAAAACAAACAACAGAAATGGGTCATATGAGTAATGCATAAAAGATGGTATATAAGTGGAAATGGGAAAATAGGCAAATAGGCTAAGTTGCAACCTGGATCGTGATTCCCCCCCCCACTCTCAATTTTCATTAATTCATCACTCAATTTTATTATACTCTAATTAAAAATAAAAATAAGATAAAATAAAATCCGATTTTTAATCCCTCTCCATAGAACTCGGGATGACCTTTATTTCAGCTTGTAAATAATACAGTGGGAGTGTTAATAAAGGCTAAAAATAGGATAATCAAGTGAAGATATTTTTATATGTAATATCACCTACTATCACCATCTCTCCAAACCCTTGCACTGAGTTTACAGAGGATTAGTAACTGATAGAAGTCTCAATTAAATATATAACCATAGCTCTTTTTAAAAATGCTCAGCAAAGAGGTTTGGAATATGAAGTCTGGTGCCCTGAATAATGTTCTCTTCATTTTAGCATTGGGGAACCCAAAATCTGACCCCTAGCTCCCAACAAAGGCAAAATCTACAAGTCACAGTGTCCAATTCCATGCAAAGCTCCCAATGAGAAATCCCCTCCCCAAAAAGATATGGAAAAAAATATATTTTTATTTTCATGAAGGAGGAGAAAACCCATGATAGACACCAGCTCTATTTTGTTAGACATTATAGGAAACCAAGAATCTCCAGTTCAATGAAAAAAGCCAGTAGAGTAAAAAGTAAACACTTAGACAGACATAAAGACACATAAACATAATTAAAAAAAAAACTTAAAAAATTATCAAAGATATTCAAATACATGTCTTGTTCTAGAAAAATTAAAACTGCTGAAACAAGGAACAATGAAATACAAACTCTTAGGACATTAAAAAATACAAGGTTGAGAAAATCTTCCATAATACAGAGGAATAGGGCAAATAGATAACATGGTAAAAAAGGAAGGACAAGTTGACTATTAGTCTTAAATATCACATAACCAGCATCACAAATCTGACAAGGAATCACTGGATTCTCCACTGCTGTGCATTTACGGGAAAAAAAAAAAAAAAATCTGCCAGTTTTACATAAGGGTGTCGTTAACTGAACAGTAAAAGCATTAATTTTATTAAATCTTGATCCTTCAGTACATGTCTTTTTAATATTCTGTGTGGCAAAATGGAAAGTGTGCATAAAGCATTCTGCAGCACGCTAAAGTGTAATTGTCTGGAAGAAATGTATTTAAGAGATTGCTTAAGCTGCAAGAAAAATTAGCTATTTTTTCTCTTTAAGTTTTTATTTATATTCCAGTCAGTTAACATACAGTGTAGTATTAGTTTCAGGTGTAGAATTGAATGATTCATCACTTACATACAATACCCAGTACTCATCACTACATGGGCCTTCTTTAAAACCCATCACCAATTAACCCATCCTTCCACCAACTTCCCCTCCAGTAACCCTCTGTTCTCTATAGTTAAGAGTCTGTTTCCTGATTTACCTCTCTCTTTTCCTTGTCTTTCCCTTCTTCTCTTTCTTTTTTTTTTTTTTTGAAAATTAGCTAGTTTTTTTTATAGACTACCATTTTCTTTAAGATTTTACTTATTTATTTCACACACAGAGAGAAAGCTTGCACAAGCAGAGGGAGCAGCAGGCAGAGGGAGAGGGAGAAAGCAGGCTTTCCACTGAGCAGGGAGCCTGATGCAGGACTCAATGCCAGGACCCTGGGATCACGACCTGAGCCAAAGGCAGCCGCTTAACCAACTGAGCCACTCAGATGTCCCCATAGAACACGGTTCTTTACTAGAAAGAACAACTGACAGACAATCTATGCCTATTCATATGTAGATGTTTGGCAGGTATTTCTCAAAAATGAATGAAATGGAGAAGAGGGTTGAAGGACTGAAAATATCCAACTTCAGAAATTACTAAAAAGTTACAGGAATTAAGATAATGTGGTACTGGTAGAAGAATAGACAAACAGATCAATGCTACAGAATAGACAGTCCAGAAATATATCCCTATAAATATAGTCCTCTGATTTTTGACAAAGGAGCAAAGGCAATGCAATGGAGCAAAGACAGTCTCTTAAAAAATGGTGTTGGAACAGGTGGGTGTCCACATACAAAAGAGTGAATCTAGATAAAGACCTTACACCCTTCACAAAAATTAACTCAAAATGGAACATGAATCTAAATGTAAAGTGTAAAATTATAAGACTCTCAAAAGATAACAGGAGAAACCTAGATGACTTGGGGGAAGGTGATGCCTTTTCAGTTACAACATCAGAGACATAACCAATGAAATAAATAATTGATAAAAGTAGACTTATTAAAATTAGAACTTCTTTGCAGAAGAAAATATCTGTACTTAG